GGGGTTGAAAAATATAATAAATTAAAACACGATTTGTTTGTAGGAATTCTATTAGAAATGATGTCCACTTTGAATGCAATACTGCTCTAACTAACAATTTTTTTTAATGTCAGTTCACCTACACTTGGGATTTGTGGCAAATCTCCATAATCTTATTTATTCAGTTTTAGAACTAAATGTCATTGAATGGTCAGTCCTAATCCACCAGGAATTATAATCGGTTTTTTTTCCTTTCTCTCAGAACGGATGTTTTGATCCAGTCGACGATTCGAAACAAGTTCAAAGATTGCACTGTCCTGACGATTGCTCATAGACTGCACACAGTGATGGACTCAAGCAAAGTATTAGTGATGGATGGTGGAACAATGGTTGAATTTGATCACCCATGGCTCCTCCTTCAGAACAAAGAAAGCTTCTTCTACAAAATGGTGGAAAAAACAGGCAAAAACTCATCACAAATGCTTATGTCTATCGCTGCAAAGGTGAGAATTTTTTATCTTATTTTTTTATCTTTTTTATCTTATACTGAATCTGTGCTCTTGAGTTAACCTATGGTTGACAGTCGTAGAACTGTAAACTGATGTGCTAACTCCCAGTTGACAGCATCGCTTTCACTGGTGGCCCTTCAGAGTCAAATTATTTGAGTGCCGAGTGAAAAAATTTTCAAAAATCGAAGTAAATTAAATCTTTGGAATAACCTCTGGACTTAAGTGGGGCTGTTGCGTTATCTTTGAATGATTTTCTTGATACTAACAAGGGGAGTCTACGAAGTGACATCCTGGGATTGGGTTCATTTTGCTTGTACATGAAGAAGAGACAAATCTAAGGTTGACGTATTTTTTTTTAGCCGCCACCTCCCAACCGTTCTCGAGATATCGATTTTTAAAGTTACGATTTTTGCACGTTTCCGCGCGGAGTTCCGGCGAGTCAACTGAGCGCCGGCAAGCTGCACGAAGCGCGTTTCCTATCAGCACTGCAGACCGGTCATCCTTATCAACAGTTCCGTGGCCAAGTGGTAGAGGGTTCGCCTACCGTTTCATCGATCGCGGGTTCGAATCCCGCCTCGTGCCGTAGCTTCTAGGGTACGCCGCAATGCGTTTTTACAATTTTTCTTTATTTTTATCACACACCAAGGGGTCCGCCCCCTGGCCGCTGCGCGGCCCAACCCCCGGGGCGAAAAGGCGCGCTTCGCGGCGAGCGAAATCATCGAAATCGACCGTTGACGGTTACTGGGCAAATAATTTTAATTGAATGATAAAATGATGTTTCAAATACAAATTTCCCACCACACAATATTCTTAATGACTTTTTCCTTACTCTGAATTTGCAACCGTCAACGGTCGATTTCGATGATTTCGCTCGCCGCGAAACGCGCCTTTTCGCCCCGGGGGTTGGGCCGCGTAGCAGCCAGGGGGCGGACCCCTTGGTGTGTGATAAAAATAAAGAAAAAGTGTAAAAACGCATTGCGGCGTACCCTAAAAGCTACGGCACGAGGCGGGATTTGAACCCGCGATTGATAAAACGGTAGGCGAACACTCTACCACTTGGCCACGGAACTGTTTATAATGGTGACCGGTCTGCAGCGCTGATAGGAAACGCGCTTCGTGCAGCTTGCCGGCGCTCAGTTGACTCGCCGGAACTCCGCGCGGAAACGTGCAAAAATCGTAACTTTAAAAATCGATATCTCGAGAACGGTTGGGAGGTGGCGGCTAAAAAAAAATATGTCAACCTTAGATTTGTCTCTTCTTCATGTACAAGCAAAATGAACCCAATCCCAGGATGTCACTTCGTAGACTCCCCTTGTAAGCCTTTTCCCATATAATTTTGCAAGAAACCTATGTCGGAGGCATATAAATCCTTTGAAAGATTCTAAGAAATTTTGGCATTTGTAATCAAGGGCATATTTGGTAAAGCCAGAGAAAAGCTGGAATATTTTGAAAAGGAGGGGTACAGATAAGGGCTGTTTTTTGGCCCATCCTAGCTGAATATCCTCAACTCTACGATTTTTGCTCATTGAATGTCTATATATTATACAAAATGCATGATAATTTGGTCATATTTGGTTTCTATCTAGATCTAATACTGGTCTAAAAATTGGATTGAGGTGGAATATTTGGGTTTGCAGTCGAATGCTGAAAAATCCACATTTCCCCCCAAATTAGGCCTTTAGACCTATGTTCAGGCAATGTATTAGAGTTGAGTACAGACTGGAAATAACCTAATCATGGTGCATTCTGTGAAATGAAGACCTTAAATGAGCAAATAATATTAGAGTTGAGGAAATTCAGCTGAAGTAGGCCCAAGAAAGGCCCTTATTGATACCTTTCCTTTACCAAGCCTCCCACCCTATCATACTATTTCATATTATGATGATTTATAGTGAATAATCATGCCCAATTTTTAATATCTTCCTTGTGATTATTTCTTTCAGAACTATGAAAACCTCCGATCTCATAATATCGAAAAGGACTTGCAGAGTTTATCCTACATCGATGAAAGTACGGAGCTCGGGAACAGACAGTTCTCAGACGAATCGTCAACCTCGGATTTGAGGAACCATCAAAAATAGAATTAGGTGCTACCTTAAGAACAAACCGAATTGTGCTAAACTTGTGTCTTCGTTTTTAGGCTGTGAGACCTCTGAGCCTTTTTTTTCTTCTTTTTTTTGCCTCATTCCTACCGTTTTCATTTGCTCAGAGTCTTCCCCTTGTTGCTGAAGCTGAAAATAAGACGTGAGTATTATTAACAACCTTAAATTTTAGTGTACTTAAGTCCAACTTAATTTTTTTCATGTACCGTAACTACGGAACCTATGGTGTCTATAGTCTTTAAGCCGAATACACCTTCTAGGGAATTGAGAATTGCCTTCTTCAGTCATGATATTTTTTTAAAATTTGTATTTATAGTATGAAGTTTTTTACAATTTTCTCTTTGTGAAAGTTCTTTACACTGTTATGTCATCAGTCTCTGTTTTATAAGATTCTACCAGAAGATGTTTCTGATAAGCGGTGTGCAGAGTCTTCTCTCATTTTCATCATTGTTATACCCATTTTATTTCATTTTACCTCCTCTGCTTTTTTTACGCAACTTAATTTGATTTTTTAAATGGTGGAGTAATCCGCTGCGTTCAGGATCTTCAAAGAATGGTACAAATGAAACCCAATTATTGTTTCTCACACGAGGTTGCTAATTAATTAGATACTTAATAACTTATGACTTAAGTTGGCGGTCTGTGGTATTACGATAGAATATTCAGTGTTCTTGAACACTTTACTCATTGTTTGTTTCATCTTCAAGATCTAACGTGAAAAGAATGATATTCAAACCTACCTCCTCCCTCAGCTTAAGATCTCAAATTCCCCCTTGATTAAGTAGAAAAATTTCAGATTAAATGTCACCCTTGATTCAAAGTTTTAAGGTCCCTTGTTCTTTTTCAGGGTTGCCACTGTCATGTAATTTCAGGAAGTCAAGAAAAATCTAGAAATATCAGGGGAAAATTGTTAAACGCCTTTACAAGGTTGCCGCAGTCAGAGAAAAGGGGGAAATTTAAAGGAATTTTTAAAAGTTAGAGAAAATGACGAAATGTCAGGGAAAATTTTTTAAGTCACCTTTAATTGCTTTCTAGAATAGGTTTGACGTTTTAAACAGCAAAGTCCGCCTGAAAACTATCTCAATTTATGTCTTTTCAACCATCTGGCATATGTATCTTCGATTGTCAGAGCAGGGAAATGTAAGATAATTTTGTACTCTAAATTCCGTGGCAACCCTGTTATTTTCTGATCCATCCAGCAAATAGAAAGTCTAACTTCTGTTTTTGTCAATTGTAAATATTCAAGTAAAATTTCACTCACTTGAAAGATCCATTGTTGAGTGACCAATTTTAAATTCAGCATTTAGTCTAATCTGTCGATTGTCGTACCTCAGTCAAAAGGTTATTAAAGGAACTTGATGGATGAATCATGTTCTTAGGTAAAATTTTCTTAATTAAAAGGAGGGTAGATTTTTCTGCCCAAAAAGTTACTGAGTAAAGAGAAAAATTACTGATGTGGTCTCGTTCTCCAAAAAAATTTATTATACATTTAAGGATTAAAATAACCTTAAAATTTTAATTATTTATTTTTTCCGGCCAAAATATTGGTACTCTTTGAATTTGTAACCAACGTCAAATTCCAATCAATCTCCAATCTTTTCCTTATGTTTAAGAAATTGAGTGTTTATGACAAGATTGCAGACAGGAAATATTGATGGCTTTGGGATTTCTATTTCCATTTCTGATCCAAAGACCAAAAAAGTATTTTTTTTTCACTTCACTGTATGAACTTTTTGGGCAGCAAAATATGTATATCCTCATAACAAGATGAATAAAAAATATTACAATGGTCAAGCAAACACTATCATCATCCACCTTCAAGATTGAATCATGTTTTCTTTAGTTAGGAAGAATTAAGTTCAGGGTATGTTTTAATTGGTAGCATCTCACAGAAAAATTTGTTAAAAAATAGGACTCGCCTATTGAACCAATTTCTCTGTGATTCTGATGAGAAGCAAGGTGGGAGCTCTTAGGGGAGTTTACACTCCAGCCTTTTTCAGATTTTTGTCGTTTCCATCTTCGGTTTTTATCAATTTGATTTGATTAATTCTTTATGTGTGTAACTAATTTTATATGTATTTTTAGAGATACTTAAACGAGATTTAGTTTTATGGTCCTGAATGTTACCAATGTGTTGAATAGATTTAATATTGCAGTGTTTAAACTTTAAAGGAAACTGATTCCACCTCCTCATTGGCTACTATGGTGAAAGTCAGGAAGCATTCATCTTGGTTCATGACATTGCAATCGCATCATAATGTTTTGAAGGGCAACTTCTTTAAAAAAAAAAAACCATATGTAGCATGATGTTTTGTGTTCTATTGGAACAAAATGACATTTGAGTGGAAATTTGTAAATACTATGAACGCTATTCTTCACTCTCTGAACAATATTCTTGACTTTCACCATTGAATTCAGTTTTTTTTATAGCACAGGTCTTGATTTTATTGCAATTGGATCCTATTTTGTTCAAGGCTGTGAATTATTGCTTCTGTTTCTCATGGAAAATTTTTTATCACAGCCCAAAATCCGATATTGCTTCTTTTTTTGTCTCCTAAAATGTGAAGTGAAGCTACCTGCTTACATCAATAGTAAAGCTACTGTCTGAATTCTTTGATTTTTTAACCAGATGGTAAGCATTTTTCACCCCTCTCTGCGAATCAGATGTATCATGTCAAAAGAAAAAGACTTTAACTGCCCTTTTATGGTTTTTTCTGTCTTAGCCTTCAATGCTGTTGTGTGGGGAATAGTGCACTGCACAAAAATGTCCCTTGATTTGTTATTTTGCTAACCTTGTCTACTATCAGAAACCAGTTTTTTTTTTTTTTTAATCAAGCTTTGTACGCATTTATGGATCCTCAATCGTGGAAATGGAAAGCAATTAACTATCTGCCTTCTCTGTCTGCCCCTCTCCTCTAAATACAACCCGGTCAACTTCTATCACCGAGCTATAACGTTCGATTCTTCCTTTTGATATTGGGGAAGAACATGATTTTACTGTGAGATATTTTTTCAATTTGATAATACGTACAGTATTTTCAATTTTATTTTTAATAATTTTGTTTGGTTGAAGCTCTGCCATACTCTTGATCTTACTTGTCATGCCCCATATTTTTTCAGTCTAATCACCTATTATAAATTGTTTCAATTCCTGTCCTGTCTTGTTTCTTTATATTTAATTTGCATTAAATTTTAAAGTGATAAGCAACCGGCTGCCTTATTTTATGACCTTACATTGTAGAATTTCTATTCTAAGAGTTATCGGTAAATTGTACTGAATTGTATGTAATATTTTCAAGAGAAAAATACAGTTTAAATTATTTGTAATTAAATGATCTGTTTTGAATTCAGTTCTCGTCCTATTTTCTTGTTTTTTGACCAACATATTGATTTGAGTGTTGACAAGCATGCAGAAGCAAATTAAGTCGAATTTTTTTGGTGGAACAATTGGACGTATTTCTATCAAAGGGACCTAAGCGCCATAGGGTGAGGAAGGTAGAGGGGGGCTTGGATTGGCGGTGGAATCGGGCGTCCGGCTTATTCCATCCTATACTCGCAATGCTTTTCCATGGCGCTTAGGTCCATTTGACAGAATGCGCTATCCGGGATTCTAAATTCCTCAAAAGGAACTCAAATTGGCGCTTAGTTCCGTTTGATAGAAATATGTCCAATTGTAGCTGTTCTCAATCAAAATGTGCTTTTAGTACCTAGTACGCTCCAGAAATCGCCACCTATTGTTACAGGGTTTCTCACCTCTCTTTTCTCAACTGCAGTCTCATTGGTTGCCCTTTAATTGTGATAAGTTACATGAGACAGTTTTTCTAAAAATTAACAAGAAAATAAAATAGCTGCAAAAAAGGTTTTTTTTGCTGAGCTTGGCTTATTTGTCTGTTTGCTCATAGAGAAACCAAAAATTTGGAACTAAGTAACACGGTTTGTTGTTAATCCACAGCTCACGAATTTTCATTTTACATAAAGAAATCAGTGTAAATTAGTCAAGTCTAGTTTTCAAAAATAAAATTAGTGTGTATAAAACACTGAAAATTATGCAGAGATAACAAATACTTTTTCATGCTTTTGCCAAATATACCCCCACTCTGATCCAAACGTACTTAAAAAAATACCAAAGCTAAGGCTTGTGCTCCTGAAAGACAATTTATCTGTTGAACTCAACATCTTTTATTATTGAAATCTACAAAAAAATATTAGCTTCGTTCAAAATTTTATTTCATTATTGAAAGTAAAACTATTAATAAAGCAAATACGCAACTCCGGAAATTTTTGAAATAACATAAGTTAAAAAATCAGCGTTTTACGTAAAAATGGTTTATTAAAAGTAACAAAAACATTGCAAATCAACAAATATTACAGGTTTAAGGTACAAAATTTTTATCACATTTGTATGTAATACAGGTCTGGTAAAAACAATGCTCGAACGTTTGCAGAACCCAGCATAGAAAACTTGTTTTTCCACAAAAATAAGTTTGATATTACTTCTAAAGTTTCTCTCAAAAACTGACCTGGGGTGTAAATTAAATAACATTACATATGAATTAGAGGTTCTTTTTGAAATTTTAGGAGGAATCTGGTCAAACCATTTATCTCGAATTCCCTCAGATATTGTTTGCGATGTGAGTATTATGGTAACATAGATGTAGAATGAAATTTCAATGTATCTCAATCGATCTCCTCTGCCCAAGGGTGTTTAAGCCTTCCATACTGGATGTCTGTGAGAGTTCTGAGAAGCCGTAAAAAGATAGGATCTGGTTGGTCCATGGTAGGAATGTCGATCACTTGGTTGTTGTAGATTAGACGCTCCACTGGATTTACTAGAACAGCTGTTCCAGACCCGAAAAATTCAAGTAACTGAAAATACAAATTAGAAAATTAAACAAGGAATTACATGACAAATTCTGGGGTTTTCTCAGGACTTCCTTGTGTGGACCCAAAGGGCACCTTGTGTAAAAACTTTCAACACATTTAAAAGAAAACTCAAAAAAAAAAAAAGATTTTTAAGGAATAACCGCACTGGCACAGAGGTGTGATCAAGAACAGCCCTGACATCAGGCCCCCCACATAGGGGGGGTTGCCTTGGGGTTGCCGGGACCCCAGCCCCTGGGCCCGAGGCCTGGGAGGCCCGGTAGGGCCTCCCAGAATTACAAAAGTTTCCATTTGTATTACCAATCTGCCGGCAAAAGTAAAATAATTTTGTTGATTGAGATTTTGCTCAAGGCTCAGACAGGCTTGCGTCCGCCCCTGGGATAGCCTATCCTTTGCCGAAACATTGTCCCCATCTAATTTCATATGTATATTTTTTTGTGCAACAAGCTGAATTTTTAATATGTTATTATCTCCTTCTATTTTCCTTCTCTTTCATCAAAGGTAAAATTTTACCCACGTCAGAACTGATTTAAAGTTTACTTCAGGCATTAAAGACCTATTTATGTTTAAAATAAGTTTTTTTCTATTTATATTTAAAAAAAATTATACGTCGAATATTGTTTTTTTTATAACGGCTCATTACAAATTTTCAAACAACTGCAATTATTCTGAGATTTTGAAAGGGCAAAAATCTTGCATACACTAATATAAGTGCGGAAATAGCATGAAATTACTCAGATTGGAGGCAAAATTTTAAAAGATTTTCGGAGGTGGCCCCCCGAACCCCCCAGACCCCCCTAAGATAGTTCACTAAAAGGGGGGCCCACCGATGGATGTGGGGGGCCTGGTTCCGGCTTTTTGAATGGCTAGGTCTGGATACAACTATTCGTGTTCTTGGGATGTCTGTGTTGCATACCAAACGAATTGCAGGCGCTCTGGCTTTCTTTAGCAGATCGCACGACTGCGGTTGTTAGTTCTGAAGGGTTTTCCACGTTGAATTTACAGTCGTGTTTACCACGAAGTCCTCTGCGTTCGACGGCGCCGTGTGGCATAACAGTAACGTTGTCGTATGGTTGAAATTGTCCACTAAAAAAATTTCCACAGAGGCATCGCGGACACGTAATTTACTGCCGACAATGTTTCCGCATATTGCACCATGTTGCAAAGTCATAGTGCCACACGACTTATCAGGCTCGGATTTACATATTTGCCGCTGGGAGAAACGGGAAAATTGCTGTCGTTCCTAACTTGCGTGGAACGTGAATAAGTTCGGGGGGGGGGGGGGGGGGATTGGCAGAAGAATGAGCTCCGGAAAGTTTGAAAATTACTACTACCCACCAACGCAAAATTAGAAAGCCCTTTTCAACAGAGAAAATGTTTTAAAAAAGTAAAAAAGTTTGAAAAATGCACTTATAGAATATAATTTGCCGGCGTCTCATCAAAAGTTCACATGGAATACCTACTGTCAGTTAAAAAATATTCTGGCTTAAAATTTCTTCACAATGCTTATGAGTGTGAAGTTGCTATTTTTGAAGAAGCGGGGTTACTTTGTTCCTGCGAAAAATAGTTTTTCATAACCCGCCGTACAATGCTCTGGTTTTTAGCCATCATGATTTTCGAATTTTGAAGATTTGACTGGAATGATTTCCCCTATTACTAAGTTTCACAAAAACCGACAGGAGCCGAGATAACATTTTAGGCCACGGCCGCTATCTTGGGTTTATGAATTTTGGAAATTTGAGTTTTTCCGTTGAAAAATACCACGTAATACCGAGTTTCACCGAACTCGAACGAACGGAAACCGAGATAGCATAACAGGCCACGTCCGCAATTTTGGAATTGAGAACTTTCAAAAATTGACTAAAAATTCGAGTTTCCCATCGAAGAATACCTCCTGACACCGAATTTCAGAAAAATCCATCGAGCAGGAGCCGAGATAGCATTTTAAGCCACTTCAGTCATTTCGGATTTTCGAATTTTGAATTTTTTGAATTTTGACAGATTTTGATTTAAAACGCGTAATATTTACTCAAAATCGAAGCTCGGATTCGGATTCCTCGTAAAAAATCGATGCGATTTCATGTATCATACCCTGACACCGAGTTTCACAAAAATCCATCGAACAGGAGCCGAGATAGCATTTTTAGCCACGTCCGTCATTTCGGATTTTTGAAGTTGGAAAATGTGACTTAAAACGCGTGATACCCAAAATCGAAGCTCAGATTCGGATTCCTCGTTAAAAATCGATGCAATTTCATGTATCATACCCGAGCATAGCGTGGAGGAAAGAGACGCAACGTAGGCATACTGATTCGAGCATATGAATGCAACGTGGCAACATGGGTAGTGCTCAGTAGGTCAGCGGAGGAGGAAGAATAAGAATTTATCGTGAGGAATTCCTCGGGACGAAACCGAACGCTTCGCTTAGCGCCACTAAGCGCCACTAGGCGCCGCGCCGCCCCGTTCGGTTGCATCTCGGGCGACCGGCGCGGCGGCGTAGTTCAAACGGGTAGTATGACAGAATCTAAACGCGTCGTTAAACCTTTTTCCTTCACGCTATTCTAACATATGATACATGAAATCTCATCAATTTTTCACGAGAAATCCGAATCTGAGCTTAGATTTTGGATATTACGCGTTTTAATCTATTTAAAATCAAATCGTAGGAAAAATTACAGAATTGTCCTTGAAAATTGATCACACATTAGTGTTTTTATACGTCATTAAACCTCTTTCCTTCACGCTGTTCTAACATATGATGCATGAAATCGCATCAGTTTTTCACGAGGAATCTGAGTCTGAGCTTAGATTTTGGAAATTACGCGTTTTAATCGATTTAAAATCGTAGGAGAAATTACAGAATTGTTCTTGAAAATTGATCACACATTAGTGTTTTTTTACCCCGTTTTTCTTCTGCGTTCACGTAATGAAATTAGACCAACAGTTGACTCATCGACTAGTCTAGCCTAATCCCCCAGAACCGGTCTAAAGGGCGAACAATTTTATCAGATAAGATGTGCGGTCCTAGTTTCCGGGCAATTGAGATTTGATGGAAGCTGCACCTGACATCTAAGTTTTGTGCGTATGCCGAATGATAGGCAAAAGAGAGCAGATTTCTATAATTTAACCATCGGAGCAATACGCTCACTGTTTTCACCAAAAAACGAGAACATATGAGGGGCTTGAAGGCCAAGGCGCATAAGTTCAGTTTTTAATAAAATTGAGGTAGGTATAAATGATTTCAAGAAGAACTAGTCTTAGTGCATACTGTGTGAAAAATTTGCCCCCGAATTCCAGTTTTTAAGCATCAATAAGTCAGTTTGAAATTTCTCTTTGCCATAAAGGATCCATGTAATTTCGAAACTTCAAACACGTGTTTCTCGAAATAGCAAAAACTGCACTTACACACGACCTTGCCCTCCAAGCCCCGCATATGGTGTTATTTGCTTGATGCTTACCCTATTCTCCGACCTCAGTTTGACGATGTCGCTCATTGTGAGAAACCGCTCGCTGACGTCGAACTCGTTCCATTCCCGCGCCAGGTCCAAAATCGAGGCACGGGTTACGCCCGGCAGGATGAGACCATTCAAAGGCGGGGTACTCAACTCGATTCCTGAAAAATAAACAAAGAAAAATATAGGATACCTACACTTTTAAAAAGTTTCAAGACATCGTGCATATTACTCGTTTTTTATCACTTACGCTCAAAACAGTTCTGAATTTCCTGTCAGATCAACCCAAGTAGCACAGATTGCGATAATTACGTAGGTAGTCAAAATATTGCAGTCCCACTGAGTGTTGTGTGTGTTGCCTAGCTTCTCATTTGAAGGGACCCCATTTATTGAAAATTATCGCAATAAAATTGAAATAACTTGTAATTATATTCATTGCACTGCATACCTATAGTCTATATTTCTGACACATTGAGCATGGAGCTCATTTTGCTGATTATTTAAAATCGGCATACCTCGACTAAATGATGTAAAAATATTGCAATTCAATGGTGAAAAAATTGCAATTTTATTAAAATCAAATTTATTATTTGATTCCAATATTTTCGTTGCACTGTGCTACTTGGGCAGCAAATGTCATCTGTTGACCGTATCTTTCCAAGTAGCACAGATTGCAATGAGTAATGATTACGATATGGTAAAGTAAGTAGTTGCTTCCGCATTCGAGTGGTGTGTATTTTGCCTATCTAGTAATTGAAGGGGCCGGGACTCTCCTTGTGGAGATTAAATGCAATGCAATTTAAACAAGTTGAATTAAAGTATCTATAAAGTTTGAGTTTACAGAGTTGTCCCCTCGAAATTTTATCCGTGGCAAAAAGTAGCTCTTATTGACCTTAAACACCCTTCAAATTTCGTTTCCGTACTTAGGTAGAAGCGGTCAAAAGTTAGGAGGGGTGGGACGGATCTTTCGGGTAATTTTTGGGCCGCCATTTTTTTTAAAATAAAGAAAAAGGCATTTTCGGGAAGCAGTAGGTACCTCCATATTTCCATCATCGGATGGAATCATCCATTCATAGAAACATGGAATCATCGGATTCCACTTTGCATGACTATAACCCTCGAGCACTAACGTTAGGTAATGCAAATTCATGGGATAACAATAAAGTAAAAACTCATTCTTCTCGTTAGATATCCGCCCTTTGCCTGACCGCTTTATCGAAACATTGTGTTTTTTAAAGAGGATAGTTCAAAAATTCGGTATTCCCGAGTCAAATAACCCTCGGACAATGGGTTTTACTCGAATTTACCGGACTTGGGAATGGATTTTTTTTTAATCTAGGTATTTCGAACTTTAACCGGCTGACATCTTGTCGAATCGCAAAATTGCGACCAATAGTTTGCGCCAAAAAATGTCTTTTTTATCTTCTTTGGATTGAGGCATCACAAGTAGGGATTGCTGGGGGTACCTTTGTGGGGAGTCTCGAAAATTTCGGGGCCCCCAAAAGCAACTTACATTGATCCATAAACATCCCG